TCAGTAAATGCACACCAGCACAATAGCCAATGCAGCTTTCTTTGCACAGTGAATGAGAAGGAAATTATGGGACAGTAACTACTCCAGAAGTGAGAGTAGAAAATCCTCTGAATGGTATCAGTCCCCATTTCTCTCCTCGGAGGTCCCTCCAGCCACGAGCAGCTGGAGGGATCGAAATGATCCCTAAAATGCTTCGGTTCCTTCTTTGCAACATTTCCTACGTTGAGTGGCCTCATAAAATGCCAAGGGTGTCCTGAAATAAAAAAACTCTGACACATAATTTTCCAGACCCCCAGTACCCCATTCCCAAAGAGTTTCCCTTTGTTTTGATTGAGAGCAGGTGGACTTGCTCCCTTCCAATCAAGTGCATGCACTCTTTGCTACTTCCTTCTGTAATATAGGAGGTGATTAGTGTCAGTCTGAAGGTCCTTCTATGAATGTCAGTTAACACCATCCCTCATTAGCTGAGAACTTCACCACAACTGCAGCTGCATAAGTGCTCATTAGAGCAACCAGTGAAATCCAGCACAGAGAGATGTAGTCACCCCAACCACAAAGAGATAGACAGATTTTAAATATAAGGTCTATCATGTAAATATTGAGGCATATAAGAATAGGCCCACAGAAATGATTAATATTTTATGGGCTTTTAAATACTTTTAAAATCCATTAGGACCAGAACTTTGTCATAATTTGTTTCATATTCACTTGTGTTTAAAACATTACTCATCTGGGGCACAGCTCCAGTGGTTTCAGAGGAACCTCGGAGGAGCAGCAGCTCATAATTCATTTAGAACAAATACAACGCGTAATGTGCCGTCGCCTTGAGCGTGCACAGTTCTCTGTGCAAGGCTGAAACGGGGCAGGGTTAAAAAAGACCCAGCAGGCTGTGCTTTGAAAAGGACCCGAGGAGGCTATAAAACTGGTTTCATGCCCGCTGCTGTAAAGGCTGGGCTCTATGTCCGCGCACCGACGGAGGTGGGCAGAGCACACAGAGAAAGGGGGACAACACACACTTTTTACAACACTCACAGACAGTGTTAATGGTTTATTGTAAAATGTCGGATCTCTGTATTAGGTAGAGAATCGAGAAACGGGGGTTAATGTGGCGGTGTTTTCTTAAGTTCACTTAGGATTTTAAGAAAGGCTCTTTTACAAGTAAACCAGTGTCGTAAACTGTTTTTGTTGTCTACAGAACTGCTACCTTAAGTGACAGGATGCGCGTCTACTCCAGTCGACCCGGTGCTGTTTGACACATTTCTAACCCCCTCCCCCGAGCTGGAGTCACTGGCCGGTCTGTTGTCTCACCGGGGGAAGTTGGGCTCATTAAAACTTTTCTGGCCGAACGTTTGATGCCGAGGAAATGGGACCGCGCCAACGGGAGAGCGTGTCCGCGCTTTGCAGAAGAAGTTTGCTGATCCTCTGGCTGGCCACGTTTGTTGATGGTACCTGGAAGACGGGACTTTACAAACCCTACTCAGCGGGGACGCAGCTGAGCAGAGACCAGACAGCAGCCGCTCACACCTCAGTCTATCAGAAAAGGTAGGCACAACATCCGCCAAATTTTGTCACTTTAAATTATTACAGTACCTAGACAGTGTATGTAATCCTCAATTATGTCTTGTTATAAGCAAGTGTGGGTTTTGCCTCTACTCTCTGTGTTTAAACCTTATCCTCGCCTTTTTCTGTCCTTTTGTCAATGGATGACTACTCCCATCTCCATCCATCTACCAGGTCCTATTGTCTTCCTGGCAGTTGGTTTCCTTTTTCCTGTGCTGGCAGCACACAGCGCTCTGACTCCCATCCTTATTGTTGTCCCAGCTCACCCAGCTTCTCTCTGTGTGGCTCCTGAGTGCATCTCCACTGTCTGGGAGGTGTGCTGTGTGCTCTTTACCCCTGCAGCAGCAGAAACACCTCCATTGTCCCCAGACCTGTCCACACATAACCTGCTCCTATTTGGATCCCAGTGGTGATGACAGGATGCGTATTTAATAAGTGTTATAGATGGTGAATGAGGGAGCGAGGGTTTTTATGTCTGTAACAAAGTTCACAAGATTAGATAGTTTAAGAAAAGGGTAATGAATGAAAAGGAGGTTATAAAATTATTGATCCTCCACGAGTTGTTGATGAGGACGTTTCTGAAGGACAATCTCCAGACCAAATACACATGCACAAGTGCTAACCCCCTCTGCTTCCCTCATGGATGGGACCCACGTTTAGCTCGGAGACTAGCTAGGGCTTAATGAGGAGAGGATGTTTCCCATCTTACATATATTTATGCTGTCAGTTTGTGTGTGCGTGTGTGTGGGCTGTATGTGGCTGTAGGGCTTAAACCCTTCTCTCTGACAAGGTCTTGTCCTCTGGGTGTGTCCAGGTGGCTTTCAAGTGCTCCCAGCTTCGTTGTCCTGGCTCACCACTCTGCTCAGCCCCCCTGCCACTCATGGCTAGAGGTTTGCGGATATGTTTACTAAACATGTGCAGCTGGGACTTGACTGCATTTGGGCTTGTTTTTGTGAAGAAGGGAAGTTGGTTTGCTGCTGTTTGCAAGTGGCAGCAGAGGAACAGCAGGACAGAGAGAGAGAGAGGAAGCTGCTCTTGGTGTGAGCCAGAGAGGTCAGTGCATTTGAGGTGACACTAGAGGAGCTGAAAGGCTCAGTCCACCTGCTGTCTAGCCTGATCTGTAAGAGCAGCAGTTTATGGTGTGTCAACAAAGCCAAACAGGGGAAATGAGATTTCAGAGAGCTGAAGGCTTTCTCTTGGGCATTAGCAACTTGACATTCAGTAACATTGGGGTACAAGTGCTTAAAAGAAAATTATTAATTGTATCAGACCCGGAGAGGATTCTGTAGCAGGAAAACCTCCCCATCCCAGCCCTGTGTTCACAAATCAAAGAGGATTAACAGCCCTTGGGTAATTTCTTGCCTGGTGCAGACCCTCTGTAGAGGAGCTGATAAAGTGTTCATTCACCCTTGTCATTCTTAACTACTATATGAGTTTAGTACAGAGAAGTTACAGAGGTAGCTGCTTCTTTATCTCTTGTCTTGCCAACTTCTTTATTCTCCCCTAGAGGACTTGACATGGTCTGACAGACAGTCTGAGCCCCATTTCCTCACCCATCTTAACCACATTCAAGTTTTCTTTAAGCACGGGAATTAAGATGACAGAGATTCCAGTAGGCTGAGCCTTGTCTGACTTAAAACAGGAGTACAGTTTAAAGCTACTCTAAAGCGTCTAGTGAGACTCAAAACAAACAGCCACCACAAACCACTCCTAACTGCTCTTTGCCCCTCCCCTTACATCTAGTTTCCTAGTAATGATGTAAACTACAGATGCTTGGTTATGACAAACTGTACAAAAAAACTTCCTCCAGTCCAAAGCTACCATTAGCTGACCAATGAGTAAATGTGTCAGTCCAGTAGAACGCTGTGGTTACTGCTAATGTGACACAAAGCACTAACGTTACACAAGGCTGAAATTGCTCCCAAATTAAAATTTACATTAGTTTTAATAAAAATTTAAAATCTGGACCATGCTAGGTTGCTAATATTACCAAAACAAACACATTACCTTTATTTGCTAATGCATCCAGAAGGAAGAACACCACATTTGAATCAAATTTGAGTCTATTGGTTGCTTTTAACACAAGTAGCTGTTAGTTCCAGCCCTATACCAGTGCTCCTTGTAGACTGTAAGTGATCACCAGCCCACAAAGCCAGTGTCACTTTGTGCTCACTTAAAAATACACTACCCATTACAAAGAGGCACACTCAAAGCTCATGGGTGTCCAGCCATGAAAGCTCAAAACAGACAAAGACAAATGAGAGTTTTCCTTGTTTCTCCACGTGACTCATTTAACCTTGAACTTTAAGGCCTATTTTTTTTTTTTGCTTTGATAATCTCCAGTGTTCTCTGTACATGGGAAATGAGAGCCACTTAGCCCTATCCATCCATCCATCCATCCATCCATCCATCCAGTAGCTAGATCCTGCAGAGGGTCACAGAGGGGCTGGAACTGATCCCAGCTGACACTGGGGGAGAGGCAGGGTACAGTCTGCACAGGTCACTAATCTGTCATAGGTCTGACACATGCAGACCATCAAATTACCCCCCACCTTTATAGGCAGCTCTGGTTCTTTCTGTTCTTCCTAGAAGCAGCTATGCTGTATCCTCTCTCTTCATTATTTTCACTGAGACTGCAGTCTCTTTTTGTTTCTTTATCATTATTGCACCACATTTATCTTACACCTCCTCTATGCCCTGTGGGACCAATAGTGCTTCATAACTGTCCTACCTTCTACTTCCCTGTTCCCATCGGAAGCTCCCTTGTGTGACCCTTATGGTAAAACGACCTTTGTCTCCTCTCCTCTCCTGTCCTGTCCTGTCCTGTCCTGTCCTGTCCTGTCCTGTCCTTTCCTCTCCTCCCCTCTCCTCTTCTCTTGACTGGCTGTTTGCCACATCTGTCTTTTGTCCTTTGTTCTCCTCAAGTATTTTTCCCACAGATAGAAATCTGGCGAAATTCCTTTAGATTTCTATCCATGCTGAATTTCAGACATGTTCAGGCCTCCTCCTCCCACAGTATGAAAATAGATGGGTGGATGGAAAGGGAATTACTGAGTCTTTTTTCATCTGAGTCTTACCACTGTTTTGCCTTCATCAATCGTCTTGTCAGTTCACACAGCTCAACTCCCAGCCTCTTTCTCTCCACTTAGCCTGCTGCTGCAAGTGCACTAATTCAGTAGTGTGATCGTGAAAGATGCACAGTGAAATGAGGGCACACACAGTAACTAGCATATAGTCTATATGATTTTTTTGACAAGTTTATGACCTCTCTGTCCGCATTTGCATTCATTGAAGGTTAGGCACTTTTTTTGTTTCCCTACGGTGTTTTACTGTCTTGGCATCTGTGGTGTTGAGAAACAGACTGGCGGACGCTGTGATTTTCCATCCCTTTGAAATTGTGGATTTTTTTCTTAACTGTTGGCTGTGTGTGACTGCGAGAGATGGTTGATGATTTATTTAGCTTGGGTCCTGAATTCCTCGTGTGCCATGTGTGCTTAAGAGACCTGATACTCACTGTGGGCCTGCTTGGTGCTGTTGCCAGTGAACCAGCATGGTGCAGGTAGGTTTCACACTTCATAAGACAAGGGTGCCTCCAGTGAGAGGAAAGTGTTGACTAGGAAATATTTTAGAGTGAAAGACTAAGTGTGCCAAGCACCTGTGCCAGACAAAAATCACTGGACCATTGTATATTAGTTCTCAGTAACGGTCAGGAAATTTATTTGCTCCAGAGCTTGTAAGTGAGAGAGTATTTTATATCCCAGAGGAGAAAATGATGCATCAAATGTCATCATATCTCCATCATCTGCTGTGGGAGAAGTATTGTTCTTGCTGCTTTGTACTTATTAGGTGTTGTGTAAATCAGTTTTGGCCGCCTGATTTTCTTTCACTGAAGCAACTGTGGTTGGCATTTTCTCTTTGGTAATTGCATAAGTGCAATGCAAAAATAATTTTTTTGGGGGGGGGCATAAAATGCATTCCCATTTATCTTTTCATACCCCCTGGTGAAACTCTCACAGCTGTTCCCAGGTGAACCCTCCTCTCAGCCTGGGAAATTCTGATGTTTATCTGTTGACTCTGGAGGATAAGTACTAGGGAGGAGTTGGGGTTAGTACCCCCTCCTCTGTGCTTCCAGCTCGACCTGACCACAGCTTTGCTTGGGAAGTTTACGATTAATTCAAACTCTCTTACTTGTGGACTGTTCTTTTAGATTCAAGCATTTTTATTTCTGACTTAATCAGACAAAAACATTTTTTTCTTCTAAAAGCAGCAAAGAATACAAAAAATGATTGTTTTATAGGCTAAATTAACATGAACAGAGAAAATCCAAGAGTAATCAATAACCCAGGTAAAGATGTAGCCATATGAAAAATAAGCGTCTCTAAAGTACTGCAGTAGTTCACGGGTGTCCCTGCTCGCTGGCCCGGCTCTGTGTGTGCGGCCACCACCACATGTGGGGATTGTTAATGGGAGCTAGTTCAAGGCTGTTTCACATCCTCCGCCTTTGGCAGTTTCCTTTAATGTAAGCAGTCTCTGATACACACAAACATATGGTCTCGCATATTGACAAACAGACTTTAGTGGTAAACACCCTCCCACTCTTGCAAACACATTGGCAGCAGAATACACCAAGTGTAGTTCTGTGCTAGGAACCACACAGTCTCCTTGGTGGTTTCCCCCTTTCTATACATCTTTTTGACTGTATAAACACAGGCTATAGTAATTGTTTTCCTTGCTTCTTCTCCAGTTGTAGCCATATGAAGACAGAGTATTTGTACCTTTCACTGTTGATAAAGTAATAGTAACATATGGTAGCTCAAACTGCCTCAGTGTGTTTTCCATATATCACCACCAAGTAACCACACTTCAGTTTTCCTGATTTGGTAAGTAAAGGGATGACATGAAGCTCATGTCAACTCTCATGTTAACCTTTTCTCATAAACATTTCTCACTGCTGCTGTGCTACTAGAGCCATTAAAACCAAGAAGGTAGATGTCTCCTCAGATGAATCACCTATACATATACTATGGTAACTTTTAGCCTAATGATGGCATCACCTGACCTTTACATAAGCTTTCCTTCTCCAGCAGGTTATTTTCTTAACAGCCTCTGTGAATCATGATAAAGCTCTCTGGAAAGGGAGTAGACTCATCACGACCCAGCATTAACCCATGCTGAAAAACTCTAATCTCTGTATGGGACTTTCCTTTTTATTCTCTCCTAGGGGTCATTGGCTCCTCTGAGAGCTGGATGCAAATTTATAGAGGAGAGCCCGCAGTGTAAATATGACCCACAATGCACTCCTGCAAATCTCGGGGCTGATTAAAACCATTTAAACACCATAAAGAAGTTTCAAAGCAAAAGACGAAGGGAAGACAATGGTGGACTGAGTGTGACTACATGGCTAATTTCCTTTTGTGAGCGTGCTATAGTGTGAGAAAACTTGTTTTGAAAATACACACTGTTCTTCCTTGATTTATTTACTTTGAAAATTTGATTTTCTTCTGTATCTGGAAATAACACATCAAGCTAGTCCTACTATTGTGTTTTTTTCTGTATTTCTGACTTTCACTCACTCTGTTTCTCCCTTCAGGAACTGGTGTCCTCATACAGTTACTAAGACGGTGACTTGCCAGGTGCAGAATGGGACAGTCCTCCAGCGGGTCTACCAGACATGCCACTGGCCGCACGGATGTACAGGGAGCAGGTGAGAAGGGCCCTTTTCACCACTGCTGCTGCAGTACCACCATACCAACCCTTTAAAGTTACTCTTCCTATGTTCTGTTCAGCCTCTAGAGGGTCAAGTGAGACTCAAACAAACTGACACCAAGCTATACACGTCCTGTTTCCTAGCGGCGATGTAAACTACAGATGCGTGATTGTGGCTTTCTGTACAAAATGCAGCCTGGAGTCTGAGGCCAGTGTTAGCTGACTACTGAATAAATGTGTCAGTCCTGTAGAATGCTCTGGTTACTGCTAATGCATTATGACACGAGGCATTAACATTATACAAAGCTTGAATTACTCCCAAATTCAAATCATGTTAATTCAATACAAAGGTAAAATCATGACCATGCTAGATTTCTAATGTTACCAAAACAAACACATTAGCTATAGATGCTAACACACCCAGAAGGAAGATTTGCACTTGATTTATCGGGCAGTGTTAAAATCTTAGTTAATGCACCTTTAACAGAGAAGGGTCCACCTTAAAACTCTTGAAATGTAAAACATCTACTTTATAGGCACTGCTTTTGTTGTTTAGCTCCTTTGTTGTACTACCTTAGAGTGTAATATAAAAAAAAAACTACATTTTCTCATATTCTATATTTTATAATAATTTAATTTGTTCCCCTGTAGGGTTTTTCATTTTCAGTATTTGTCCCTTCAGTTCAGTTTTCTATACTTTTGCCTCACAAAGCTCCCAGATCACAGGACAACCACACTAAACACACACAGCTATTGTTATGTGATGGCTTGAGATCTCATGTGTGTTTTTCAGTTACAAGACTGTGGTCAGACCTTCCTATAAAGTGGTGTACCGCACTGTGACCTCTCTGGAGTGGAAGTGCTGTCCAGGATTCAGTGGTGCAGCGTGTGAAGAAAGTAAGTCAAGACAGAAAGAGAGTTTTCAGAGACTCGTGGACACATGAACGCTTTAGCTATACAGCAGCTGATAGAAATGGACAACAGCCAGGTTGCTTGGACGTAGCCACCATCACAATGTAGGGCTTTGAAGTGGTTTAGAGAAACAAGTTGACAAGTTTCACTTATGTTCATTTTTCTTTCTTTCTCTTAGTGTGTCCGCTTTCCTTTACCTGCCTCTGTTTCCTTTTTTATGATTCTTTGTCTCTTCACACTTACTTATTTATTACCATCTGCATCTCTCTGCTTTGCATTGCTGTCTTATGACCTGCGTATCTGCTTTCCAATACACGTGTAGAAGTAATAGTTATAAACAGGAGTGATTTCCATCAGGCTTACATAAGGCTGCTTCTGTCTTCTAACTGAAGTTAAGTAATAAGATCCCTCAGTCTCCTCAGGGTTGGTCAGATACCTCCACTTTATTAATCAGTTTACATCTGTTCATTTCAAGAGTCAGTGTGCTACATAAAGGCTGATTGTTTTGTGTGGTTTTCAGCGTTTTGGTCCAGCTGGAACCAAGTCTTCTGCCTCTTAGAGTGCCACTGCTGTTTTCATTTTTCGGTTACAGTAGCTGCCCACCATACACATACACACTCGCAGTGTATAATGACTTCCCATGACATTGGCCCCTGTGTCTCAGCAGACTGGGGAGAAGGGTGGAGCGTCTGTTTATGCCAGCACCCAGGACTTAACTGGGTGTAACCTAAATTGTTGGGCTTTGTGACACAAAGGACAATAAACATTTATAGTGGTTAAAGTGGTGGCTTTTTGTGGTACTAAAAGCAGAGGCTGCTTTTCTTTGTTATGCTCCCACTCCCAGGTAAGCTAAGAGCAACACTCTGCTCTCCCAGTGGCCTCTAGTCTGCTACACTCTGGTTTCTGCTGGAGAGATGTCTGCACCGTTCCTGCTTGCTTACACATGACACGTATAAAAAAAAAAATCATGCTTATTTTAGACTTTGCCCATTTTCAAAGTCAAAAATCGCCTTCACAATCAGACAACACAGATTTCACCTAACAAAAGCAGGGAGAAAATTATCCAATTAAGTTGTTGCTGGAGGAGATTCCCCTCCAGTTGTTATGGCAGTGTGGGGCTGTCAAGCTAGCAGGGATGCTGGGATTAGTCACTTATCTAAGTGTTGTTTCGGGTAGCTCAGATCACAGGCGGAGCTGAGTGAAAGTGACAGGTCCCATTGTGGCACCATGGATGCTGTCCAGGGCCACCAGCACTTTGTTCTGCACTTGCTGCTTGAGCAGAACCTCTTGCCAGTGTAGAACCTGATATCCCACTGATGTCTGCCTCATTTGCCACTTTAAGGAGAAACACAATCTTGCAACACAGGCAAAGCTGGAAATAGGATTGTGCTTAAATCTGTTGCCATAGTGTTGCCAAGTGAATGTTAAAGCTGCACTCGTAGTTCAATGAGTGCAAGTTTCAAAGCCGGGCTTTTAATACCTGTGTGTGGCTCCGTCTGCAGATCTCGGCGCGGCTCTTTGTGGACTTCCAGACGACCGTGAGCACCTGTTTGACCTTGAGTTAGGCTGAATTGAAATGGTTTCATAAATGAAACATCTGTTACATAGCAGAATAAACAGCTATTCTGTTATTGCACTTTTTGAAATCTACAGTCTGATCAGACATTAAAAACATATTGCTCTTGACCTCATAAATCTCATAATCCTCCACAAAGAGCTCTTCTGGAGGTCCATATACCTTTTCTCCCATCATCGTTTTTCCTGTGCTTGTCTGCTTTTCACAGACTGTGGAAAATGTGTATGATCCGCTTCTTTACTCACACTGGCTTGCCTTTACTTCCACTGTTCTTTCACCAGGCCACCCCAATATCTGCTGGCCATGTCTGACTCCCAAGGCCAGCCTGCATTACAGCATATTTCAACAATGTCCATACCAGCAGGGTCTATTTTAAATGGAGACGAGAGAGCTGTTTTCTCTTGTGTCCCTCCATTCTCACCCCATTTCTTGCCAGCTGATTTGGCAACATACGTACATCTACAGGCTCAGTCTTCAGTAAAGATAACATGTCTCTGTTTAAGTTTTGGACTATGCATTTCCAAAACCAAAGCAACTGTGCAGAGATACATTATGGGAAGCGATCACACCATGCTGTCGTCCAGTCATACACAAGCTTCTGAGGAGTTTTGGCCTATCACTTTCTGAGTGCTCGAACAGCAAAACATTACATCACACCCTGGGCGATAAACAAACTTACACCATCAGAGTCTGAGTAAAGTCAAGATAACATTGCATTAGACAGGCACCTTTTACATTTGCTCTTTTTTTCTTTCTTCCTCACAAAAACCTCAGAACTTGGCTGTCATCCCAGGGCAATGGTGTAATTACTGGGCCCTAATTGTTTTCTATGAGGTTTGGGAGATATTGTCTTTCTTCTGGACCTGGAGCACAATGGTCTTTATCTCAGATTGAGCCTGAGAAAAAAGGCAAAGTATTTGCAGATGGAGGCACTTTCATAGCCTGCCAGAAGTAGGGATTTAATGTATGCCTGGTTGGTTTTGGCATTCATTCTAAGTAAGTAAATGCTTGTTTTCAGATGGGATATTGCAGTTTATGCTACATCAAACAAATATCAAAATTATACCTCATTTAGAGGCAATTTTGTTATATGAGAATATCAAATTTAACCCATAAATACATCATTATTACATTAGAACTGGCTCTCAAAGACCACTTTGCGATTGCAATTGTATCAGTATCAACATACAGTATAACAATGAAGGGTACAACTGCACACTCAGCAGCTTGTGAGCCTGTAACATTCATTGGCATTGTGGACCTTTGCCCTCTAACTGCTAACCTGATGGTGTCTTAAAGTATGACAAAAAGACACTAAGAGACTGCAGTTGATATTGTGGCCATAATTTATGGAAAAGTGCTTAAAAGAAATACCGCTGCTGATTTTCACAGGAGGGTGCCACCATGCATCAAAACATATGAGAGAATCTAGACTTTTAAATTAGCACGCCTGTCAAAGCTGTACTGTAGGGGTCCCCATCAAGCTGTATCTCAGAGCCAAGCGGAGGCAGCGGGTTTTGGGTTGCAATTATAGTATATGGCTGGGAGGCAGAGACACGGTGTCTGTAATAAGCTGCAGAAATGTAATCTGTGTTTTCACAGCTCAACGCTGCTTATCACAGGCCTACACGCTAAACCCTGTGCTTTAAACATCGGTCGGCTGCAGCTTGCCATTAGTAGAGAGAGTGGGAGCGCATGAAGACCGGTGCATGTGTCTGTCTGACTGACTGACAGAGTGAATATGTGGGTGGGAGAGTGAGGTGTTGAGGATTTGTACAGTGAGGGATGCAGCTGTTCAGTGTGATTAGCTGCTTTAATGGCAGCAGGCTTTAGCTGTGATTGGAGGGACCTCAACTTGAGGTCAGTGGGGAGGGAGTTGAACAAGAGCAGGGGGTCCTCACTCCCACTCCTCTTCTACCATTCATTACGCTAACAAAACCTAAAGTGACCTTATTAGTCTCCTCTCTTCTTAAAGTCACATTCCTGGATTCCCCTGTGTCGTTATAAGCAGGTGTTATTTGCTCTTGCCCCAGTTCATTCGCACAAAACATAGTGGATGTCAGATTTAGCTGCACTCACGCCCTCATCCAGGATACTTATGCATTCATGAGAAAAGGTCTTCAAAGACACATACACTGAATGCGTACAGGGAGGCCGGCTGCAGTCAATGTGCAGAAGAGGCCATAGCAGCTGATATTCATGGTTATGGAAATGGCTATTGGTGCAAGTGCTAAGCCCAAGGCAAAGTTGGCTTAGAGCTCCAGATGGGATAAGACAAGGGAGCATCCAGCCGTTTTATTCCATGCAGCTCCCCTCAGGGGAATTGTCATAACAGGCATTAATTAACAAACTCCAATCACCAATCAGATGACCTAAAATTAACACAACAGTGGAGGGAAGCCTCTTATCTTGTCATGTCTGCCTTTCTTACCATACACTTTCATGTTTATGAAAAATCCAAAGATTATACTTCAGGGGCTCAGGAATTTATATTTGAACATCCATGTATTACTTCTACTGCCTAGGGTCACGGGGGAGCTGGAGCCAGTCCCAGCCGACACTGGGCGAGAGACAAGGCACACCCTGGACAGGTCGCCAGCCTATCATAGAGCTGACACACTCACACCTGTAGGCAATTTTATAGTTTCCAATCAACCTGACCTGCATATCTGCAGGCAACATTGCTAACCACGCTGCCACCCATATTTGAACATGTATTAATAAATATTTATACATGATTTTGACGTGTTCCATGCAAGCCACATACAGAGCGTAGCCTGTACAGCACACACCTTGCAGCCTGTGGAATAACAATGATAGAGCCATAAGAGTTATAATTATAAATTTCTGTGGCTTTATGGTTCATGTTTGCCTGTAAGATTAGCAGGACAAAGGCAACAGGCTGACACAGTATCATTTTCTAATACAGCCAGGTTCATTTGGACTTATAGGAGATATGATTATACATTTAATTTTTAGAAAAGGCACACTTAATGTTTCTTTGTGTTTTCCTTTCTGTACATGAAGATCATAGGGATGATCCACATTTGCTTTAATGCTTCACACTCCATTTGTTGATTTGCATCTTCTGGTAGTTAGTCTGTTCCTAAATGTAAAATAAATGGCAGCGAGATGCACAGTTCTTTAACTGACTCTTTTTTAAAGCTTCATGCATACTTAGCCTTGAATCTAAGCCAAGTTCTATGTATCTGGCTCCTGGACTGGAAATGCCTCTTCTGCTTACTGATTTATTTAATATTTCCCAAGACTTCCCATGAGAGCGTATTGAAAACAGTTTTCCCTGCAGTCAGAGAGAAATAAAGTGGGCCAACTCAGCAGTGCAAAAAAACTTTTAGGGATGAAAATAGACACACGTGCACCCAAAAATACACACACAGTCTCACATGCT